CTGACAATAATCAGGTCAAGTATTTTCAAGAGAATATACAAGACGACAGCGATGTTCAACAAATGTTTGATAGTCATAAACATTCTGGGTTTGACTATATCGAGGTTTATCTATTACTCTACCAGACTCAACATGAAGTTGGTGAATCTCACAACGAAACAACGGATCTAGATGAAGTTGATGTTGTGGACGAGGAGGAAGAAGAACCTGAGGCCATGGTTAATCAAATGGTTAATTTGTTCGGGACTGGGGACTCCACTGCAATGACTCCACTGCAAGACATAGATGAAGAGGCACTACCATTAAGTCATGTGTATTATCCTCCCCAACACATGACTAACTTGCAATTGAGTTGAGACGATACTTCCTCAGATTTTTTCTACAACCCTTCTCAACAAATTGAAGGTGTTTTGAAAGTTGGAAACTAGTACCGCACAAAAGAAGAGTGCATGAAAGCTATAAGAAAGTTTCATATAGATAACTTTGTTGATTTTTACATCAATCGGAACGACTCAAAACGCTATGTCGTAGTTTGTCGTAACGAAGGTTGCAAGTTTCGGTTAGCAGCGTCCTATCGGAAAAAAAGTGATTGTTGGGAGATAGGTTCGATGGATCCACCTCATAGTTGCACAACCAACATCAATCGGCAAGATTATGGAAAACTAAGCTCTCAATTGATATCCCAAGAGATTTTGCATCTTGTGGGCGTAGATCCATCTGTGAAGGTGAGCACGATTATCTCTCATGTTGTTGCACGGTTCAACTATACCCCATCGTACAGGAAAGCTTGGATTTGAAGAATAAAAGCGGTTGAACATGTATATGGGAATTGGGAAAAATCTTACAATCAACTTCCACAGTATTTACTAGCACTTCAAAAATATGTTCCTGGTACGGTTGTAATATTGGAGTCACTACCAGCATACACTCCTGAAGGAACATGTGTTGATGGAAGTAGGATGTTCTCTCGTCTCTTTTGGGCATTTCAACCATGTATCAAAGGTTTTGCATTCTGCAAACCGGTTATTCAAATCGATGGAACATGGTTGTATGGAAAATACAAAGGAACATTGTTGATGGCGGTTGCGCAAGACGGAAATAATAATATATTTCCGATTGCCTTTGCCCTGGTCGAGGGTGAGACAGTTGAAGCTTGGAGTTTCTTCCTCAGAAATCTCAGAACACATGTCGCTCCTCAACCCAACTTATGTCTGATTTCCGACAGACATGCTTCTATTGTGAGCGCCTACAACAATCCTGCTAATGGTTGGCACAATCCTCCTTCTGTCCATGTCTACTGCATAAGACACATTGCTCAGAATTTTATGCGGGAAATTAAAGACAGAAATCTCCGTTAAAAAGTTGTGAATGCTGGGTATGCCTTAAACCAACCATCATTCATGTATTACCGCAAAGAAATAAGATTGTCAAGCACGGAAGCATTAAGGTGGGTGGATAGCATTCCAGTCGAGAAATGGACAAGGTCTTTTGATGGAGGATGCAGATGGGGTCACATGACCACAAATCTTGTAGAATCCCTAAACAGCGTATTTAAGGGAACTAGGAACCTCCCCATCACTGCGTTGGTAAGAGCAACCTATTACAGATTGGGGTCAATTTTTGCGGCAAGAGGCAAAAAATGGAGCGCTGTTTTGGAATCAGGGCAAAATATTCAGCGAATCATGTATGAAACATATGAAGGATGAAACTTCTAAGGCGACCTCACATCGAGTTAGACCATTTGATAGTCACGATTACAGCTTCATTGTTGATGAGACAATGGATCACAACGAGGTTTGACCAATGGGACACTATAGGGTGGAACTTCATAAAAATTGGTGCGACTGCGGAAAGTTTCAAACCTTCTGCATGCCTTGTTCACATGTCATTGCCGCATGTTCCAGTGCTCTTCACGATCCATTCTTGCAACTATCAGAAGTTTACAAGGTCGTGAACTTATTCGGTATTTACAATAACAGTTTTCCAGTGATAGCTAGTGAGGACTATTGGCCAACCTATCATGGAGACACAATCTACCACAACGAAAATATGAGACGAAACAAAAAGGGCCGCCCCAAAAGCACGCGAATGACAACTGAAAGGGATACAACTGAGAAAATGGAAAGATTGTGCGGAATATGTCATCTTCCCGGGCATACAAGGAATAATTGTACAAATGTTGGAACAAGTTTTAGATAGATTTACTTTCTTCATTAAAGAAATGTGTAACCTTGGAATTTAATATTTATAACAACTTTTGATTACCACATAAACAAATTGAAATACTTCTAGAGCAACAAAGCAAATCATTAAATATATTATAACATAAACTAAGATATAACAACAATCAAAGTAATATCATTAGTTCCGAACATCATAGACCTAACTTCGTTGTCATTTTTAATTCGCACCCACTCTCGTCGTATATTTCCGTCTTCAACAGAGAAGTACGAAACAAGTTTTTCAATACTCCTAATGCTTTCACCATTTGGAATGTCTCATTCTAACCAGCGATTCAAATTTCTTCGTAGTTGCTATAAACTTTGGATGTTCCAAAACAACATCCTTATCGGAGGCTTAGTTTTTGAGAAAATGACATTCCCATATCTTCTAAGATACATGACTCACTCTCCTAAATTTGGATGAAACAATGTTAATTTGGATGAAACAAGTCTAACTATTTATACAAAAAAAATGGTCTAAAATAGTATTAAATATTAATTATATTAGAATTAAAAAATTAAACAAAATAAAGGGGGCTCAAAAGGGGATGACGCCCCCCTTTAACTTATAAGGGGTGGTGCCTCCAAAGAGGATGACGTCCCCCTTCTAAATTAAAGGGGGATGACGTCCCCCTTATAAATTAAAGGGTGCCTCCAAAGGAGATGGCGCCCCCTATAATTTATAAGGGTGCCTCCAACCAGGATGACGCCTCTATACAAATAAAAAAAACGTAAAACTAGGGTAAATTGGAAAATATGTTAAAATATTAGATATATTGAATTTTAAGGGGTGAAAAATTGATTATTTTGGTAAAAAATTCCACAATCTCACTCACACCTTTCCAACCTCGTTTGAAAAGAGTGAAAAGAGTGTTGTTCTTAATTAGTCAAATGGATCAAATAACAGCCAACCAAAAAAGTAACGGAGAAAATATTTTTCAGACTATTTCTATCACATTCGCAAGATTAATTTAATAAAAGTATCTTATAATAATATTATTATATTTCTTAATTTTTGTGTGCAAAAACTTTTAACAACATCATTTTAAAATAGATGAAATATTACCTCTATTTTTTTAAAAGTTAGACTTTTTAAACGTATTAAAATGGAAAATAAAAATTATGAAACACTTTACAATATTATTCTTCGTTAATTGCACGTAAAAGTTAAATTTAAATAATTAAAAAAAGATAATAATAAATAATTAAAAAATAATATTAATAATTATTTAATATTGCAAAATGATTTATATTTTGATATAAAACTTTTCTCAATGAAATTCACCACAAGACAACAAACCATAAAAGAGGCAACAACCTTTTGATCAATCACCAATCATGATGATATCAACTGAATACTGAACCAATGGGACAAGTTAAGATGTGACGTTGCCTTTATTTGCTGTAATTACTATGAATTTGCATTTATATATATACAAGTTCCATCAATTCAATCCTATCCTATAATTACTAGCTTTTCTTTCAAATTGAAATAATAACCGATAGTTTATACTCCAATAGTATCTTTATTTTGACCCAGTTGCTTCCTTGTCACCTTTGATAATTCAATGAATGTAAACTGAAGCTCTACCGTAATTTACGTTACCACAATCATGTGATGGTTTGGCACGTAGCTAGCTACTGTGAGTTGGAAATTCTTGCTGGAATCTTGTGGTAACTTAGGCTGGATTCTAGTACATTTCTACTATATAGTAGATTCACTTGGTATCTTTTATTCTTATTGCTTTTCACCTATGCATCTATAATTGAGACCATCACATCAAATAGCATATTGTATAGTACTAGTCCTATCAATAATACACTCCTCAATATATGCATGTGCTTTTTATTTCCTTTCAAATAAAAATTATTCTTAAAACAGTGTCTAAAAGGTGTGCCTATGTCAATTGGCATGACAACAGTACTAACCAGACCAAGCAAGTTAAGGTAACGTAATATAATATGGAAAAAAATTAAGAAAACTTAATATAGAATATACAATATTAATAATAATAAAAATGTAACATTTATATAACTTAGAATAATTAACAAGTACGCCTCATTTCAAATAGTTATTGGTGTAAGGTGATGTTTTCTTTTTCTCTTTTTACAGTTCTTACTCATGCATTTTTGGTAGTATATTCTACGCTCATAGATGCATAGTACAAGATGGCCATGCATCGAAAGTACACAGTTGTCTCTGGCTTATTTGCCATGATTTGATAAGGCAAGAATAATTTTATTCTCTTATAATAATACACTACATAGTTTTGAGAAGGACAAAATAGATTGAAGTTACTTCTAAAAAAATAAAAGCTTATATAAATAAAAAATAAAATAAAGCCAAATGTGGTAAATAGGCCCATTTGTATTTTTCTACCAAAAATAATAGAAATTATTTAGTCCAGTTTTTATTAGCTTAATTCAAATATCCAACCCATCAGTCAAAAACAATTCATTTATTAAATATGTATTGTATTCATTGTCGAATTAATGACTATGAACAAATTAGCAGAAATATCCATTCAAATTTTAACTAAAGAAAGTCATAGAAGTAAGAGCTTGGGTGTTTGGTTAATGCTTTTGTTCATGTTTGGTCATCAAAATACTAAACTACAATGAACAAAAATTAATTACAAAGACAACTAAGATCAAAGAAAGATGCAACCTCTCAAGAAGGATAAATTATCAAAGTTTTTTCAAACATAATTGCATTTCTTCTTCCCCGTTGTGGTGGCAAATTCTAAAATAAGCAATTCGGTCTGTACTATGTAAATTTCAAAATATCCGTTGTGGTGAGGGTTTCTCAGCTGGAAGTTCAAGTAATTCTCGAATCCCTTCACAAACCTGCATTGAGACAATTGAAAGTTCTCAACTCTGTAAAATTAACAAGCAGCATGCCTTACACAAACGTAGTACAGGCAGCAAGCATCAGGGATTCAATTAAGTGAAGAAAACAGAGTGATTGTACCAGCTTAATTTGAGCTTTGATTGAAGCAATTAATTTAGTGTATTCCTCTATCTGCCTGCAATACAAAAGTGATTCATAAGTATGAATTTGCAACAATATTTTCAACAATAAAATGGAAATTAATCAACCATTTTAATAGATGATAATAGAAGGCCAAAGATACATTTGTCCTAAGATGGGTATAAGAGTTGCCGAAAGCTATGTTGTTAATCTTGGATAGCAGTGCGGTCAGACACTAAAACCGCTAAAGCAGAATATTTGTTATTGCAATGTAGACAAAAATTCAACACGCAACTTCCCGCAGGAAAGTAAACTTCGTATTGAATAGATGATATTGTTATGATGGACAAGAGAAGTAGAAATACATTGGAAAGAAAATTAGATCAAACCAAACAATTAAGAGAAAGTTAGAGGTAAATGGTGTGTCTTTAAACCCAAAAAAAAATACACTTAAGACTTTATTGCGTTGACATAAACATATAGCAAACCCACCCACCTGGTTGAAATAAGTGCCAATGTTGTAATATAAATATATGTCTTAACGCCTATACAGCTTAAATGCATTTATTTTGGTCCCTCAAATTTTAAATTGCCTGATTTTGTTCTCCACCTTTGTATTTTAGGGAAATTTTTTGATGATATGACAATTGGGATGCTTATGTGGCAACTCATTGATGACATGACAATGGCCAAAATCGATAATGAGGAAAAATAGAGGGACCAAATCTGCATTTAAACCTAAGTATATTACTTGCTCATATGAATTGTCAATTAGTGAGCTATGATTCAATTACTTGTTCCATTTCAAAATCATTGCCCCAAATGCCTAAACACAGATATTAATTTGGTAGGCAAGCTTTCAAAACTATCTACTATTCTTGAATTGTTGAGATGATACAATTCAACAATGATTTGACTAATCTATACTGCACATTATCAATCATCAGTTTTTAGCCCAAACAAGTCCAAATCATATTATGGAAGGGAAGACAGATAAATAGGAAGGAAAAATACAACGAATGTCATGCCACTCCCTTCTGCACATGCAAGATAAGAATCCCAATTGAAATCTATAATCTGATACACATACACCTACCGCCCAAACCACGGAACATTACAATTAGTATTACTAAAGAAATCAAAGTGCTTCTGTGAATTTTTATAAATTAAAAAGATGGATAAATCAAATTGGTGGTGGTTAATTTTACAGAATATGTTGGACACAAGAAACATAGGGATCTTGGACCACAAGTTTGTTACTGTATGAGACCAGTAGTTTCTCTGCTACTGTATTTTTCTGATATAGTAATTACACCAACCAACACAGTTACTTTAGTTAGTTCACTGCAGTATAAGATGTATTGTAACAGTTTTTGTCTGGATTGGTAAATCAAAAGGGATGCAGCTTTTAAGAAAACTGTGGGGATAAAAGTAGCCCTTGCAAACAAAAAAGAAAACAACCCCATTAGGTTATTAGCTACGTAACCCTAATATGTATCCCAGCATTCATTTCTACAGCGACTGATTCCTCCCATCTTCTTCACGGCATGGAGCCTAGGGACAGTGGTTCGCTGCACCATAGAACAGAAAAGGAAACGTGCAGCAGTAGAAGAGAAAGGGTTATATTAGGGTATTTTGGGATTTTACTCCATTTCTTTTTTCGCGTCTGCGTAACTGCCTTGAAGGTGAAATGCTCCGCAGAAGCAGTTGCAACGGCTCCTACTCCCTTTTGCGACGCTCAGTTGCGAGTGAGGTGGACGCCCTTTGCTCCGCAGCTATCACAGAGATACGGACCACTATTGACAACATAGCCAAGATCCACATCAAGAGCTGCTACTAAATTGGGCCTAATCTGATGGTCCAGTAAATTATAAGTTGTGGCAAGTTCTAGCATGGAGGCAGACTTGGATACAAACACCTTATCTAGTTCCAGTGTTTTGTGACAATTAGATTGTCACTATCTTAGCTCATAATCGGGTTTTGCATTCCCGGTTAAGCATATCTAAAGAGCGTAGTAAGCAGCTCATTGTAGTTAATGTTCCTGCTTAGGAACAGTGGGCTGATCTGCTCACCAAAGCTTTTTCCCAACCCAAACTTCAACTTCTATTTACAAACTCAGTGTGCTTGTCAGGTGCGTACGGGAATTACTGTATTTTTCTGTTATGGTAGTTAGACCAGTTAACTCAGTTATTTTTAGTTAGTTCACTATATATATGATGTATTTTAACAGACTGGAGCAAGCTAACCAATATTTCACATTTAAGAAATTTCAAACACTCTGTCGTACTAGATTAATTTTTTCACTTTCAATAAGACAATATATGTTAAACCAAAAAATTATACCTGACTATCGTTTCTTCCCTTTTCTCTATGTAGTTTAAAGCTTCGGACCAAGTAAACTCCACGTGGAATCCCATACCTATGTCCACAAATATGTGTTGTGTATTGGGCCTGTAATGTTTAATCAAATATATGAAAAACAAAAACAAATAAATAAATAAAGTGCATTTCCATGGACTGAAGACAACAAAGAGATTTCATTGTACGGACACAAATAAAAAGCACTAGCATTGCTGATGAGAGGTTTAGCAATTTGCCGAAGGCATTGATTGTACCCTGGATTGAAGGAGGGAAGTGTCTAGACACAAATTGGGCAACATAGCACAAGTCTTGTAGTTTTACAGTATGGTGATGACTGATGGTTATAAAGATCATATACCATAAATGAAAGAAAAATAAATTTGATCACATGGATTCGTGATAAAATACTAATGTATCTGACAAAATTCACAAAAAAGATCAAGAACGCGTGAAATTAAAAGAAAGAAATAATGACGCTAATTATCAAATCAGGTGGCTAAAAAGCAAGTGAAGAAGGGTGAAAGCTGAAATGTTAGATGACTCACACTTCTGCTTGCACGTACACCTCAGACCCAAGATTGACCATAGTTCTCAGACTTGTTACACTATTCTTCTCTAGGTTTTCAATGTTTCTTCGCAAATCAGCACTGAGTGAACAAGTCAAGTGTATTCAAACAGAACAATAGTACTTAACTGAATGCATCATTGAATTCGTACTAATTCCATTTAATGGGAAATGGATGATACAAAATTTACTGTGTTAAAAAATATGTCATTATGATGGTGATACTAATTGATCGTAGTAGTATGCAAAAAAGTGAAAAAGGATACAAAATTTTCTGCTGTTCAAAGACCGTGTCCCTGTAAGAAAGAAATGAGAAAAATAAGTCCTCTGAAACTTGTGAAATAAACAAAGGAACCATGCAATGTAGAAATGCTTTATTTAATCCATTTTGCAAGTGTATTATTCGTGATCTCAGATATATGTTTATTTACTCAGAGGCATCATTACACATTATTTGCAACAACCAAGAATAAAATCTTCAAAGTAAACACTACCTCTGAGCAGTAGCATGAAGAAGATCAGGTTTCAAGCGTTTATCAACAAATTCTTCATACTTTTGTATTTTCTGCTGGCGCAAATTGTCCATATGATAAGAGTCCTAATAAAAGCATAAGCCAACCAGGAATCATTAGAATATGTAAAAGCTAAGCTGTATCAAATGACTCATTGAAGAAATTTTGAAACAAATAGTTTGAAGGTTCCTGAGCTTGTCAATTTTATTTGGTACAGACCTGAAAATTCAATTTTACAGCTCAAACAATGGTTAAGTAGTGACGAATCATAAATCACAAGGTGAACCACTAATGCAGATACAACATCAACAACAACCAATCCTATCTCACTAAGTGGGGTTGGCTACATGGATCAACTTTCGCCATAATGTTCTATCCAGGACCATGCTTCTATCCAAACCATTAATCTCAATATTTTTCTGAATAATTTCTCTTATAGTCTTTCTAGGTCTTCCACTTCCTCTATTTGTTTGACTTCTCTCCATTTGATCTATTCTCCTTACCACAAAATCTCCAAGTCTTCTCTCTACATGCGCAAACCACCTATATGTCTATTTTCCACCATCTTTTCTACTATAAGTGCTAGCCCAACACTCTCTAATATTTTCATTTCTAATCCTATCACGTCTAGTCTTCACACGCATCCAATGCAACATCCTCACCTCTGCTAGACTGACTTTATTCTCGTGTTGATTCTTGACCGCCCAACATCCTGCCCTGGAGAGCATCGCAAGTCTTACCGCAGTCCGATAAAATTTTCCCTTCACCTTGAGCGGTACATTTTTGTCACATAAAACCCCTGAAACTCTTCTCCATTTCAGCCACCCAACTTGAATATGATAGTTTACATCCCCTTTTATTGAACATGGATAGGAATAAAATGTAGTATTTGTCATCTATCTTAATCTCAATACAATAATATTTAAATAACTATTGAAGCATTTCAAAGCCTGATAATACAATGCTATTAAAAAAACTCCTATCCATCAAAACTCTTACACACAAATCCAAAACAAGCAAATAAAATTTAATTTAAAATGCAAACCGGTGTTTGAAGTTTGTTCTAAACTTGAAAAGCTATGTGGAGAGAAAATGAGCAATATGAACAAGCTTGAGTAGAGGGGGAAAAAGGAGACTAAAATTTTGAGTTCAATAATTAAGCATGAAACTGTTGAGTCAGAGAAAGAATTGGATGAGCATATTGAATCCAATGTTTTAAAACTGAACCGGACATCAAACCACCTATAGTTCCAGTTCCAGGTCATAGTTCAAATGCTTTATATTGCCCCGAACCCGAACAAAACTACACTCAAACCGTTCAACTAAATGGACTGTAGACAATGCTATTCACAATTCGACCCGTGGAACCATCAGTTTTGATTCAATTTTTAGAAACATTGATTGAATCAGAACGGTTGTTGGGATATCACAAAATCAGAAATGGACTATTGCATATTTAATTTAATTAACGAACAAGACGACCTATGATCTTGTTTATATACCAAAAACAAATAAAAAATGTGCATTTCTACTCATAAAAACTACAAAATTAAGAGAAGCAATGCATAGTAAAATTGAATCATAAAATCCATGAGAAACGTATAACAATCTATGGCAGACACAAATCGCACTGGGGAATGAAAATCCGAAATGTAAAATATAGGGAAAACCTTGTGGCGTACCTTCAAACTGTTGTGGCGGTCAACGAGATACTCCGGCGATTTTTCCGGCCAGATTTTCGTTTGTACGGTGGATTGAGTTGAGTGTCACTCCAAAGTCCAAACCGAATTGTTTGTGTCTGATTCAACAAAAGGGCTAAAGGGGAAATTTTGTTGTTTTTGATGAGCTACTGCCTTCTGTTAGGTTGTTTTAGGGTTTTTATTATTATTATTAGATATGTTTTTCGTGTTCGTGTAAATAATTTATCATAGAATCGTCCTTGTAAATAATATTAGAGGTATTCAAAAGTGAATTAGTTTAATATAAAATTACACATCGAACCAAACAAATTCGAAAATTGCAAAAAATCACATTTGCATGGAATGCGTTTAAGTCATATTTTATCAAAATCGTGCGGTTCGGTTCAGTTTACGGATTGTATTTTGCAAATCGAATCAAACTGAATCAAACTGTGTCATGTTACTGTTACCTCAAATTTTCGACACACATTGATTCTTAAGATTTAATAATTTTGAAAATTGTTTGATGGCTTAGGTTTTTAACTTAGGTCGAAATGGTCATTTGACCATGAATTCAAAATAAGCATTCTTTGTCGAGGCATCTTCGTCAAATGATTGATGGTGTTGGTTGACATTCTAATCAACCAAAGATTTTGTTAGTTGCTGGGACTTAATGAAATTTGGAGTTTTTCAGTGTTGTTCTTCACGTGGTTGAATAAGGCATAAGTGGATGAGATCAGACAGTTATTTAAGAACATTTGGAAGTCTGTCAAGAATGATGGTTGCATGGAGATGAAGACGTGACATAATTCACTTAGTCGACTGTTGTAAACAATTATGATAATACTAGTATATAAGTAGTGTTCACTTATGGTTTTTGGGGTTCGTAATTGTACACAAATCTTGTAAACTCAAAGTATATGTGTTTGGCAATTTTCCCCCCGCAATGACACAGAGTCACCCGGTGACTCCTATACCGACTATGGCAAGTGACTTCAGGCCTTTTGCCATAAGTTTCACAATGTTTGTGCCTGATCGCGAGCAACCATATGGTATGCCAACATTGATGATGAAAAACCTGCATACGAATGCTTCGACATTTAGTGACAATGCACCGACTGCATATTGTCGCTACCGCGAAAATAAGGTGCCGGTAAAACAGAAGAGTCGCCACCTTTCGTTATTTATCCCTCAGAACGGGAAAGGAAACGATCGGAAAAACCTAACGAAAAGGTATAAGACAAGGTCATCGCAACCATTGTCTGGGTTCGGGAGTCGGTTACGCAAGGGGAAGGTATTAGCACCCCTCACGTCCATCGTACTCGATGGGACCAACGCTTGCTGTGTTTATATGACGGGTTGGTTTTATCTATCTACCTATCAAGGCTGGTCTGAAAAGAAAAGAAAATGACTCGGCAAAGCGTCGCGCTTTATGCCTACATATTCTCATCAGAGAATGAGAAATCAGAGTCAACGTAGTTCGACTAACTACGGGTTACGGGGAAGGTGGCTCGCCAATACGTCAGTATTGTGCTTACGTACTCTCAACCGATATGAGAGATCAGAGCTTACGTAGTTCAGGATAATACGGATTGCGGGGTTTCAGATTCATCTGTTTTATCGAGTAGGGTTAACAAACAGTTCCAGCAGTTTGGTGTACGCAGCTCGACCCTTGGAGACTTATGCGTTACCGTTTGCGGTAGAACTGAGAGTTAACGACACTCTTTTCTTCAGAAAAACTTCCTTTGAATTATGGGCCCACGGGGCAAAAATGTTCGAAGTTTGTTTTCTTTCTTTTACGGAAGAACTGTTTTTTATGGACGATTGCAACTAGTATCGCACTAGAGACTATGACCTGAGAGTGAATGTGTCGCATGTCACCCAAAGGGTGCCATACTAAACACCCAGACTGTTGAAAAGAAACTCTCCAACAATCCTTTCTCAGATAGCTTAAGGCTCGTAACGTACGACGTCAGTTAACCTTTATTACTGTGTTTTAATTTGTTTTGAGATGAGAAGAGAACAGGCTCAACTAAGGGGAGACTATCAAGTCCTACTGTTGTCATGCCAAGGATTCATCCTATGGTTGAGGTTTGAAAAGGGGAACTCCTAGAAGTTATCATGCTTAGGTTTCAACCTAAAGTTCTAATCATCACTTCCTTATCAAAGGAAGTGAGATTCCTAGGGGGTCATGCCAATGATAAACAGAAACAGATAAAGCATCAGCTTAAACAGTAAACAGCAAATAGTAGAGTGCATGCAATGCAAGTGAGGGAGGAAATGTGTGTGGGGCATCAGCCTCCACAAACTCATCTCAACCTCAAGCCAGATATGAATAGCTGCAATCATATAGAAAGAATAAAATGAAAATGCTATCAAGCAAGATATGAGTGACTGCAATCATACAGAAGAAATGAAATACCATTAAGCAAAAAACAAACCACATAGGCAAGGGAGCTGGGCTCTACCAAATACCCGCAAGCAAAACCATACAGTAAAAATACAAGCAGAGGGAGCAACTCAACCTCTAGTGCAATCATGCTCCTAGCTTAAGTCAGTCTAAATATGGACTTATTCTAATGCATCAAGCAAATCAAACAAGTCACATCAATACAGTTGCGCAGCAAGCAAACAGACAAGAAAGAAAGCAGATCAACAGCTTCCACAGCTTCACAACAAAGCTCCTCTGACAGCAGTTTAGTCCTCATTCTTCAACTACCCTTCAAGGCTATCATCTTCAATAGCAAGTATCAACTTGCTTCTACAAGCTTCTAACACATCAAACATAAGTATCAACTTATTCCCTTTTCTCCAAGCTTCAGCTCTCCAGTAAATTCCACCTTCAGGCTTCAACCCTAATATCAAGTATCAACTTGACTCCCTCAGGCTCTCAGTGTACCAACATAAGTATCAACTTATCCTTTATTCCTCAAGCCTCAGCTCTACACTCAACCTCAATTGGATCTTCTTCACAAGTGTCAACTTGGTCTTCAAACTTCAGCTCTCTCCTCTTTATCAGTATCAACTTGTTCCTCTTCATCTACAAGCTTCAGCTTCTCAGAGTAATCTTCAAACACAAAGAAGTATCAACTTCATCCTTCAATCTTCTTCAAGCAAGGAACTCCATCCTCTAACAAGGGAGAAAGATTCATCTATCAAGAGCAAAGTTGGGATGATTGGTAGCAGAGTGAAGACCAAAGGTCACCACTAAGCATCCTATCATCAGAGAAAGGGACCCTCAAAGGTTCTACCAACTTGCAAGGAGCCACACATCCTACCAAAGGAGGGATGAGGCCTTTACAAGGGGACCTTACATCATAGGGAAGAATGGAATTGATCAACATAATCCATGTTTATGAAGAAAGAGAATCTATCTAGAAGCTCTGCCTACAAAA